CCATCCATCCATCCATCCATCCATCCATCCATCCACCCATCCATCCATCCACCCATCCATCCACCCATCCATCCACCCATCCATCCATCCATCCATCCACCCTCCCTCTTTCCCTGCCTCCCTCCCTCCATCCACCCACCCACCCTGAGGCCTGAGGGACAGGTAGGAAGCCAAGGGCATGGGTATGGCCCGAGCAAACAGGTGCAGGAAGGGCCCCTTCTTAGGAGAGAACAGGTGTGCATAGTTTGAGGCAGGAAAGCACTTGTTGCTTGTAGAGAAGTAAACAGAAATCAGCTTTGCTGGTGTGGAGGGCAGGTCAGACAGCTCCATTTTAAGTACGATTTTCATTCATCAGCTTTTTTTCTTCTTCTTTTAATACTTCTCCAGGTAGTGCTGCAAGGTGGACCAGACTTGCCAGTCTGTCATCTTGGGGTCTGGGTCCCCTATGCCTCTTCCTAGCCAAGCAACCACACCCTTAGCTTCCCGTCTCCCAGGCTCGGCTTTCTCATTTACCCGAGGGAGCTGGATTAGAGTGACTTAATTCACCTAGTAAAATCAGTCCAAAAGTTTTGTTGTTTAAATGAAGCATTGATTTGAAATGGGCAACATGATCAATACAAGCACTGGTGACCCAGTGGCCTTCACAACACTGTGCCCTTGGAGAACCGTGACCCCCAGAGGCTCTGGCCGGAAGGGCCCCCACATGTGGTGCGGCGGCTGGCAGGTGGCTCCCCAGGAAGATGCTCTTTAAACAGCTGGTGGAATTTAGGATAGAACCAGCACATGAGCGCTCATTTAGCAGTCTTTCCGGTCACTAATGTTTCATCAAGAATATGAATCTTAAAATACCAGATGATCTCACTCCTGTGTGGGATTTAAAGAAACAAAGCCAAGCAATAGACTAAGCTAAACCAAAACAAACCCTAGAAGTCTGACTGTAGAACTGAGGCCCCTGGAGGGGAGGACAGGATGGGGGATACCGGGAACACAAAGATGAGGGTCTCCAAGGGGTGACTCCTTTGGTGGTGGGTGGGCTGTGGTGACATCCTTCTGAAGGGTGTGAACCTGTACCCCCACATCATATACAGCGCTGTAATCCAACGTTACCACAATAAAATCACTTTTGAAAAGCAGTGTTTGTCTTCGACATACATTAATCCTTAACAGTGATGTTTCTGGTCTCGCTTGAGTTGCTTTCAAATGGCCTGTTGTCATTTCACTCCTGCCCCTTTTCTCCTGTTCTGTCTCCCGTTTCTGTATCCCTTCAGCAAAGCCATCACTGATCTGAACTTCAATTAGCTAGGGTTGGATGTTGGCCATAGAGAGGACAAGCAAAATTCCACGGAGCTCGCCCAGCCGCTGGGCAGTTTCCAAGGCAACGCTGTTGTCTCTCTCCTCTGAAGGGAAACCTGGGAGAACCCAGTCTGAAGGCTCTGACGTGCCTGTGTGGCACAGTCGGGGCAGGGAGACTTGGGTTTAATCCTGATTTTGTTTTTCTCTGTAAGGAGAATGCCTTATTCGCACTGATTTCCTCTAGCTCTGAAATGAGCATTTCAAGTTGCTCTCTGGGCTGGGGTGGGGGCGGGGGTGGGCAGATAAAGACACATTTAAAATAGACCCAAAGCACCAGTCCAAGGACCCCAGGTTGGGGTTCCTAGACAGGAGTGCCAGAATCAGAATTCTCATAGGAAAACGAAGCTGTTTTTAATCACCGACGCGGGGGAGACTCTGCCTCAGCCAAGAAGCAGGAGACTGGGCAGGGGCCAGTCTTGAGCCAGAACAATGTCCATCTTCAACTGTTGCTGTCACTGAGACTACAAAATGTGTTGTCCAAAACAGGAGATGAGGGAGAGAAAGGGGGAGGACCTACCTCACCCGCCCCAGGGAAGCTGGCACCAGGTCCCGGCCTTTTGTGCCACAGCCTAAACCATTTTTGGAACAATTGTCTCCTCACAGCTGAGTCTGTGAGCTCCAGGGTTGAGGCTACCCCCCCCCCCCCGAGAATCAGGCAGGTGGGTGCTGAAGGAGGGAGGGCAGAGGCGCGGGGCCTGGAGAGCAGCTCAGGGAATCTGACGGGAAATCAGAACAGAATAAAGGCAAAGGCCTCTGGGGCTCTGGCCACCCCTGCGGAAGCACCATTAGGGATGACCCCAGCCAGCAGTTTGTGACCTCGTCCAGTGGAGAGCCCACTAATCATAATGTGTGTTTGAGCAGGGCCCATCATAATGTGTGTTTGAACCCCCAACCCAGTAAACACAGAAGCAGTGTGTGTTGTTAATGACTGATGCTTGTCCAATACACTGGCGGTGGACACGAAGCTTATGAATATGTTTATTGCTCTCTTCCAGGAGGGACACTGAGCTGACCCCATATAGTGATAAAGTAGATGGAAGAGGCTGTCCTTTTATAGTATAAGTACACTCACTGCAGGTGTCAACACACATTTGTTCTTTAACCAGGTGGGGGCTTCCTGCAGAAATAATTTCAAAACTTTAAAAAGTATGTCTTAAACGGTTTGAGTTATAGTAACAAAACGCCACATCTCGGTGGCTCATGGACCACAGACATTTATTTCTCCCGGTTCTGGTGGCTGGAGGTCTAAGAGCAGGTGCCAATGTGGCTGGCGTGTGGTGAGGCCCTTTATGGGGCTGTAGGTGGCTGTTTTCTTGGATCCTTTTTTTAAAAAAAGATTTATTTATTTATGCACACAGAACTGGGGTACAGGCCAGAGGTGCAGGGGCAGTGAGAGGATTCACCAGAGACAGAGTGGGGAGCAGAACAGGTAAATGGACGAAGTACACTGCTGAGGGGAGCAGCGGGCGGGTCAGGAGAGGTCTGCCGTGCCCTGTGGGTCACCTCCGGGGCAGGGATCGAACTCATGCTGAAGTGGCTTTAGCTTCTCAGTGCTGTGCTTTAACCCGCTGCGCCACCAGGGAGGGCCCCTTGGATTCTTACATGGTGGAGAGCGGGAGAGGACGCTACTCCCATTCATAAGGGCGTGACCCTACTGACCTAGTCACCTCCAGTGGTTTTTCCTCCTAATACCATCACACTGGAGATTAGGCTTTCAACACATTAATTTTTGGGGGGGACGCTGAGGGGTGTAGGACCTAGAGCTTTAGTTCATTGCAACCTACACAAAAATATACATTTACTGTAGAAAAATGAAAAGGTACATATAACCAAAGTGAAGACAAGAAAAAATCCAACATCCACAAACAACTACTGTTAATATTTTAGTATTTATCTTGCCATATCATTCTATACATTTTAGTATGGGATAAAATGGTATAGTACAAAATATATAGTATGAAATGATAGCATAGCATAAAATGACAGCTGTGATAAAACATAGTAATGTTGTTATATTGTGAAAGTTGTCCATGACACTCGCCCATGCCAACAAATCCACTTTTACAATCATTTCAATAACTACATAAGATTTCAGAGTATTAATAAGTTCATCTAACCAACCCCTGGCATGAAGTATGAGGTTATGTCCAGACTTTTTGTATCGTAAACAATGTGGTTTGGAACATATAGTGGAATCTGCCCACGAATGATGAGTGAAACTGGAATGTGCAACTTCTGTGGGATATCTGAGCCCTTTGAATTCTGAGCTTTATCAGGGTTCACTTGTGGAATAAACACGCAAGAAGAAGGAGGAGGAGGAGTGCTGGGGACCGAGGCCGGCATCTGGCGTCTGTCAGCAGCCATAAAAAGGTGAAATGGAGTCCGGATAGAGAAAAACATCCGGGTTGTAAAAGGCATGTGGGAAGAACTTGCCCCCACCTTTTCTTTCTCCTCTTTCTTCTCTCACCCACCTATTATCTAACCACTGCTCCATTCTCGCCCATTTTTGTCCCTCGCGAGAA